AAGATACACACCTTGTTTTTGGAAAACCAGAATGAGGGGAAAAAAAGATTTTTCCAGAGCTATGGCTGCATAGAGCAGGAACAGAGCCTAATCTTCAACTTGTTCATTCTCTTGCCTGCTCAGGCAAAAGCTACACTTCTAATCCTTTCACAGCTGAACTGTTAGTAGCTGTTGTCTGCTCAGCCAAAAGCTGAAACTGTAGAGTTAGATAGAAAGGTTCAATAGGAGGAAATCGTGGTGAGAGTTACCAAATCTAAAAATGAAGTAGAAGTACTTAGCTAGCAGATTTACATTTTCCTTAGAAGTAACCTCTAAAAATATTGAATTTTCCTAAGAGCAAATTTATTGTAAACATAAAATAAAGAACTGTAAATAGTTCATCACTAATTTCTAAACTGCATGAACATTACCACTTAATTCAGATGGGCCTGCTCTTTGCACTGTATTCTTTCTGGACACAGAATCAAAAAAACTGGGAACCCATATATTTCTGCCACATGGTTTTCCAGGTGTTACAAAAAAAAGTGTGCATCTATTTTTCTTTTATGTAATGTTAAATGCAGATAGGTAGAGACAGAACTATTGATCCTCTTAACTTGTGTGGTGCACAGTTCTGAAGTCCAAACACATTACAGGTAAGTTGTAAATCATCATAAATCTCAAAAGGCTCTGCACTGACTATCTGAGAAGAAAAACATCCATAAAAGTGAAGTGCAAATTCTGCCCAAAATCTCTTATGCACTACTATAGATTCACTAAAGCCAACGGGGTTGTACAAGTATAACAGAGGATATATTTTTGCTGACAGATGTTTAAAACTTCAATAGCATTTCCTTCCTCAATTTAAAATGCTTTAAGTACTGTAAACAAATCATCATCCAAACAGCATTTTCCCTATGCCCCACAGAAAAACTCAACCTTTCAAAACTAGGTAAAAAAGTTACGAAATCAATAATGCACTTAGGGATATATATGTTATACCCCATTAACAACACTTCAGACTATTTTCAGCACCTACACATTGGCTTTGTAACTTGCAGAATACCTAAGGTGTATGATACAGCACATGCCCTATCACGTGGTGTTGCGTATTTAGCTTAGGATAGGCAGGCTAGTGTTTCTTTCAATGTAACGCAGAAGATGTTTCTCTCAGACTGTGTGAGATACTACAGAAATTAAAAGGGAAAAAGTACTTAGAGGAGCCAGCTAAACAGCCAGGGCGGTTGGGCAGGGTGGGGGAAGGGGAGGAAGCCTGGCACCATTGCAGAAGAATCACATATTGTAAATCAAGTCAGAGCCTAATGAATACAGCAGACAAGTGTGGTATCTGCATGGAATTCAGCATGATGAAAACAGTTCAGAATGTAAATGGATGCTGAAAATTAAAGGACCCAGCCTGCAAGTGCTTGCTTCCCTCAGAGTTGTCCCCTTTGCAATGACAACAGTGGGGGGCTTTGGGTTTACATAAATGTAGATAGATCTTAGGGGTATACTGGCTAATTGTAGGATGATCACCAGGGCCCTGGTTTTCTCTATTTAAAAATCTAAAATTCTCCGATTGAAATCCCTTCTCCCCAGAATCTACGTTTTCCATAATTAAAATGAAACACCGCTAGATATACAGGTATCAGTTGAACATAATGTTTTATCGATATATTTACAATTTTAAAGCAATTTAGAAGTCTACCAGTGCTTCAATCATCATATAAAATAAATTTCAGATACCTATATAATTTGACACTTGATTTTAATTTTTTTATCTAAGAAAATCAAAGCTCCCCCTTCCCCTACAGCCATGTGCGTCCAGCTGCAGCTGCCCTCCCTGTTGCTTTGTGGCACTGAGCGGCCCTGATATGCCAGAGCCCTGCTCATGCCATTGCCCCTTACACCTAATCCACACACGCCCAGCTGGTGCCCCTCACTCTGGACCTGCAGCCCCCTGGCCCTGCCAGTGCCCCTCACTTCCAACCCAAAGACTCCTACCCCCCAAGCCTGTTGGTGTCCCTCACTCCTGACCCACTGCCCCTGAGGTCACTTGCATGTCACTGCATTTCCTCCTGGGAGTGCCGCAAGTATTGAGCTCAGAAGTTGGCTTGGCTCAAGATCTGTCTGGAGCCCCTTTCACACAGCTGCAGAGCCCAGAGGCCGAGTACTCAACACTTCTGCAAATCCAACCCCAAGTATTTCAAAATGAGGCCTAGAAAGTTAAGAGTATCAAATTAATAGCCACCAGAAAGTTTTGGTTTAAACAAACTTGCCCAACACTACATGGGAACTCTGAGAGACTCCAGACCCCAGTGTTAAATTCAACTCTATCTATTGAGCATCACAACTCTTTTCATGATCAGCTGCTTCACGTGTTGTACACCTTACTTGGTCATATATGTGATCACGCAACTAATACTTGTGTCAACAGGGAGAGGGTCTGCTCAACTGCTGTTTTCCTGGGTTGCAATATATTTAGATCAAAGAATTTAGATCAAGCCTCATCAGATGTTTAGTTGCTAAACTCTGGCAACTCTTTAGTTGTCACATGAAGTGACAACTTTCAAAGACTTATAAACTGCCAAATCTTCACACAGGGGTCAGAGGATACGTAGCCAACACTCGAGCAATCCACTCCCTCTATCAAATTTCAAGAAACTGTTGTAAAAAAAATACCAATGCTTAAAGTTTCCAAATGGCTGTAAGAATATACAAAACAATCTTCTTCCTCTTGATCTTTTTCTTGGAAAAAACCTCAACCTCCTCATCTGAAAATTAAAAATGAAACAGAACCAAAACTGAACCAGAGGCAAATATCAGACAGAAAATTTCAGCCCCAAATGTTAAAATTTTGCAGAAAATCACAAGCAACTGAAACGGAAGTACAGGGCAATGTTAATCATAACTGGCCCTACCAGCACCCTTACAGTAAAACCCTTACTATTTATTCTGTGTTTCCTTTTTAACATCAATGAAATATTACTTAAAACTGATTTGAAATACATATTTGAATAAATGGAACATTCTAGTTAGATAATATTTCTTTCATTTACGAAGTTATACAACCTAGGTCACGAAGAACAGCCTTGCTTTGCTAAAATATTCCATGACTGTGACTTGAATAAATATCAACTGCAAATGCTTACAGTACATGTCACACATGATAAGTACATTACCTGGGCTAGAAATGAGAATAGGGGGGAAAAAAAGAATTAAAAATCACAATTCACACAGTAAAATACCTTTCAGAAATTCCTTTGAAGACATTTACTTGGGTGGAGTTCAGATAAGTTTAAGGTTACACAGTTAATAGAAAAGCTTCTTATTTGCGATTCAGAGCATTTTTGCTACCAAGTTGATATGGCAAACAGTCAAACTGAAGTAGTAATTTTTTCTTGTTGCAACATGGAACTATCTCACCTGTTTCAGCAAGCTTTTCTACTTTTTTGCCTAGAAACAGGAAGATAGACAATCTTTTTTTCCTGTAAATACAGTGGCACCTCAATGAGCTGTATATTGATGAACTGCAGAAACTTAACTCCTTTTATTCTCAGGTTCATTAAGTTATACCGACATGTTTTCACTAGCAACTCTCTAGATATTATGGGAGAAAAAAGAAATTTACTTAACTAACAGAGGTTTAAAGAAACTAGATTAATATTGGGCAGCATCCACATGTATTCATGGACAGAGCAAGGCTACACCAGAGGACAGCGCTATACACTATATCCATCTGCTTTCTACCTCTAGGGGTGGAAGAAGTACTGTATTTACTCAAACATAACATGAAGTTTTCCCCCAGTCAACACGAGGAAAAAAAACATCATTTAACATTTGCATACAAGGAAACCTCACAAAATACACTGCCTATCACTAAACTGCTGCCAAAAGCAGCATGTAATTAATAATTATGAAGTTTGTTAAATTAAGCCAACACTGGGCAAGACTATAAAACACATGGCCTACGTGGGGCAAGCATAGTAATGGGAATAGAGATGTGAAGGCCTGGAAAAAAAACCCAAAAAATTAGGAAAAACCTCATTTGCCCCCCTTTTTTCTGACGACTTTTTTTTTTGTTTTTTTCTGAAAACTGAAAAAATTGAAAATTTTTGGAGAAATTAAAAAAAAACCCCTCTTTTGAATGATGAATAAAATGCTTAAGACAAGGGGTTCATATATTGCTACTCTTTACCCCCCAAAAATGTTTTCTAATAACTAGGTAATAGACTTTTATGTAAGACTATCTACAGTATCAGATCATTACAATTCCTGTACAGCAAGGACAAGCGGTACAGCACAACTCTCAAATGCAAGAGCAAGATCCATTTCCGTCCCCAGGGAGCACTGTCATTTCACAAGAGAAGGAAGAAGGATTCAGTGCCTTCTTTGCTTGTGGACTTCCTCTATTGTTGACTTTTGATCTAGAGGTTGGTGGATCTGTTCCTGTCGTCCTGACTAGGCCTCAAAGGACTGGGAATGGACACTAGCAGTGTAGAAATTTATTAACAAGATCATAAATAATAGTGTAGCTTCTACAGCAGACTCAGCCTCCAAGGACAGGCTGATAAGACTCTGCAATGACCGAATCCTATTCACTTTGAAGTCTGAAGTAAGTTTCCTCCCTATTAGTTACCATTTCAAAACAAACATGTAGCCAAAAACCAGTTTTGAAATAATTAAGAATTTTCCCACACTGACCTGATATTCACAGTGGAAAATTCCCACCTGTGCACGCATCTTGTCTGTAAACTATAAATCGCCTCTAACAGTTTTATTCGGGGCCTCTGAGTTTGCTCAGGGTGCCCAGCATGCTGAATAAATTTTGAGATTGACAGTGACTCTGTGTCTTTGGGAATAGCTCTGCAAGGGGTCACGAACTCCTCAACAGCAGCAGCATCCATTCATTCCTGTAGAAATTAGAAACAAGCAATATATTGCTGTGCTTGCTCAAAAGCCTCAGGAGGAGAGACAGAGCAAGTCTAAAGTTTTGGAGATGGAAGGAACCTGCTTCCTCCTGGCCCTGTGACCTTGAGATCCACAGAAGCAGCACAAAGAGCTGAAAGGAAGTATACTTCTTTCTTGAAAGGTAAGAATTTAAATGTATCTGAATGCAGTATATTAAACCATATTTTAGTTGCATTAGTAATTTTCATAACCTACGTAATTCATAATTGAATTCCTATTTGTGAAGATGCAAGAGTGGCAGAAGTGGCAAAACACGGAGAACGCTGCTTCCAACCAGCTGTCTTTTTAAGACAGGAGTGCCAAGAGAGCAGCGGTGCAGTGGGCTGAGAGAGTATTGGGAGATGAAAGGAAAAGGAAACAAGCCTGCTGGGGTGAAGGAGACACTGGAGGATCCTCTCTCTGAGCTGTAGGTAGATTGGTCAAGCTTATTTGAGTCCAGATTGAACGGAGAAGAAATTTAGTCTCCCAGGAAGGACTCCGAGCAGCATGGGAACATTGGCTGCAGTGGCAGCGAGCTAAAAGGGGACAATTACTTTGCAGGGTAAAAGCAATACATTGCTTGTTTCTAACCTCTACAGGAATGAATGGATCCTGCAGCTAGTGTCCATTCCCAGGACACATAAAAAAAAAAGTATTTAGGGTTTCTCTTGCCTGCCACATCTTGAATATTCAAATGGGTTGAATATTTTTCGATGTTATTAGTCAGGAGGTGTTACTTCCTTTTTTTTTTCTTTTTACCACAATCATACAATGGCAACTTACATATGGACTTACTGGATCACCAGTTCAATCAAACCTCCTCTTGATGACACCTGAACTTAAAATCAGAGATAGAATCACAGTTTGATTTGTGTTAATCACTTTTATTTTTTTTTACATTTTTTTTTAATGATACACAGTCAGACAGAATATGGCAATTGTATGCCTTTCAGGTATCTCTTAAATTTGAACTTAGTAACTCTTCAGTTGTCTTACTTCACTCTTATATCAGATATAAATTAACTGAAACTTAACAGCTGATATCAGCTGTTTCTTCTTTCCTTTTTTTTGCTTTGCTCAGTGCACTCTGCCTTTAAGAGAGATCTTATCTCCCCAGATCTCCCTGACTAATAACATCAAAAAATATTCCAGATGCGGCAGGCGAGAGAGTTGGAATATACTGCAAAGTCTCAAATAGTGGCAATTACAGGAAAGGGTCTTGTCACAGGGAGAAACAGAGATGCAGACCCCGAAGAGCCAGGGGGGAACCCTGGGAGCAGGAACTGGCTGAGGAAGATAAAAGGAGAAAGAAAGAAACAGAAAAATTCTTACCTGTAGCGGGAGCCACAGCAAAACCGGAAATGGCAGCGGGACCTCGGCGGCTCGTTAGCCATGCCTTTATACAGCTTTGGCCAGCTGATAAGGCAAATGGCAGGAACCAGCCGGGGGAATAAAAGGAGCTGCTGGCGTGAGAGCAGGGGAGAGACCTGCAGGAGCACCAGTCGGGAAGTCTTACCTGGAGCCCCCACAAGGGGGAGAAGTGTGGGAAACTGCCTCCCGCAGCATGGGAGGATGCAGTAAAGCCTACCATGGGGAAGATGCCGCCGGCAGCAACACAGGGCGTGAAGGAGCAGAGGCATCTCATCCAGACCAGGAACCAGGACCAGGGGGCCGGGAAGAGCCAGAGGAGCTTGAAGTCCGGCGTTACCGCCAAAGCGTCGGAAGAGCCAGCAGAAGCCAAAATGCCAGATCAGGTGGAACCATAGAATGCTCGGGAGGGCTCAAGGAGGTGCCCCAGGTGGGAGCCAAAGGGCACGAGCAGCGGGAAGGGTGGCGGAAGACGGGCCCCAACAGTATAGAGCCGCCCCGCCAGGAGACGTGGGGAGGACGTGCCGAGAGCGACCACCGAGGGTCCAGCGAACCCACAAACTGGGCAGAGTGGAGAGGAGGACGCTGTAGCCAGCAGGCTAACTCAGACCAAGTTTAGGGCTTGCTAGGGGCCTTAGGGGCCTGGGCCTGTTGTTGTAGGGCAGGCTGTGGGAGCATTCAGAAAAGGGGGCAGAGGTCCTCCCTTAGTACGTTTGCATTTCTCTGTTGTTGGTATTTTTTTTTCCTTTTTCATTTCCCACTTTGGAAGGGGTTGCTGGGTGAGAAGCCCGAGTGTTGTTTAAACCCAAAGAGGGTTTACAGTTACAGGAAAGGCTAGATGGCCGTGAGGCGTGGTGGGTGGAGTTTGGGTTTGTCCTGGCTGTCCTACAGCCCGCTTCTGAAAAGGGGTGCAGAGCCTCAACTGTCGGGGACTTGGCCAAAGGACATCAGGACTCATCAAGGTGGGGTGTAAGGGCGAGGTAAAGGGGAGGTGGAGCCTCGCAGAAGATCGTCATCCAGCAGTCCCATATGCAAGAGACCCCAATAGTCAGACCCCCACCACTGGGATAAGATACAAAGTTGTGGCAGGCGAGATTGGGAGAGAGACTATCCGGGGAAGAGACACTTACTCGGCAGGACCACAGGGACGGACCGGTGGACAACCCCGAGCATCCGGGGCCACGTGGCACGTGACCGGATGCTCGAGACCAGACGGGTACAGGTCTAATAAGCAAAAATAAGCAGAAACATTACACTATTAATCTGATGTTTTGTGACAAATTGCCCAACTTTAGCAGTCAGGTGAGGCCTGCAGGGCAGGGAAGTTGTTCACAGCTAACTTTGAGGAGGCCTCTCCTCCATCCATTACTAAATTTGTACATGCTATAGCTTGGTGTTTATATATGCAAGCTAGCCACTAAATTACATTTTTCTTTTTTCTTCCTCAGCAAAGTGGAACAACCAATTT